AAGGAGGAGGAGGAAGAAGAAAAAGGAGGAGGAGGAAGAAGAAAAAGAAGGAGGAGGAAGAAGAAAAAGAAGGAGGAGGAAGAAGGAGGAGGAGGAAGAAGAAAAAGAAAAAGAAGGAAGAAGGAAGGAAGAAAGAAGAAGAACAAAGGAGCAAATGTAATATAAAGTAAATGCTTACTGGGTTAAAACTGGAATGCCAATTTATATGTAAGCACAACTTTCATAAATTAAACAGTTTTATTTAACAGAATGTGTAACAGAAACTTTAATAATTCAGTGCTGAATATCATACCTCCCACGTAGATCCAGATTTATGCACGATCTCACTAGACAAAGCACATAGCCCAGATGTAACACAGTAACGTACACCAAATTTGTTTCAATTTAAGTTCCAAATCATAATCTGTCACTTCAGGAAAGACTAGCTTTAAATGTTAAAATTCAATCCAAGTTGTAGCTTCTTTACTGAGTAATAGTAGTTTTATTGTCTTAATTTTCAATGCCTAGCTTGTTAGTAGATTTCAAAATTCACTCAAAAAATGCAGCCAAATTTTCAAAACCAATGGCAGAATGCAGACTTTCAACTCCTTATTCTATGACATGGAGGAAAGCAACAGATTTGCTAACCTAAGAATTTTTTTGTTTGAAAAGAATACACTTTTGAATTTTTAAGCCATGTTTATCTTTCCAATGTATGAAATAGCAGCTAAATATGTAACAGAAGGGCCACTGAAGTGGCAGACAATATAATGCCCATTACTCACTGTAATGTGCAGCAAGAGGGTTTTTCTAATCTGGAAAAGGCAACTGAATTTACCCCCATTACTCACTTTGATCTTAAAAAATAATCACCAGAAACTAATGATTTAGAGGTTACACTGAAAAAATATTTTTCTCAGAATAAACAACATTTTACTTCCAGATCAAAATCTCTCAATTTGGCTTGACTAGTGCAAAGATCAGATAAAGAAAATAACTGTTTAGCTTACTTTCATGAAATGGGGAGGTGAATGCTACAATGCACAAATTAATATTCGATAATCAACTTATTTTTGTAAAACTGATGTTGTAAAACTAATCTCTTAATATCTCTCCTAGAAAGCTGAAAGAAATTCTTTACTATTGAATTACTAGTGTTACTGCAATTGTTTATGTTTAGTTAGTTCTCTAACTATTACGCATCCAATAGAAAAACAATGAACTTCTAATAAAAAGTTTAGCTGTTACCTAATTATTGATATTAAGAAAGAAAAATAGTACTGGGTCTTGGGCCCTTCATACTTACCTAACAGGATTTGATGTCATTTGACCTTTCGCCAGAACATTAGCTCTGATTTCTCTCCACAGATGCTGCCAGACCTGCCAAGCTTTTCCAGCAATTCCTATTTTTGTTCCTGATTTACAGCATCCACAGTTCTTTCAGTTTTTATTTAGGATTTAATGTTTATTGGTGTAAAATCAGATCACCAGCTGGAATTTGCCATTTCTTCAGGCTACGTTGTGTTTTAAAACTGGTGGATTCCTAAGGAACTACTAACAAGACATCAGTTCTCCTTTGAAAGCTTAGATCCAGTTTTTTTAAAGAAAAAATAAGCTCATTTAAAACAAGGAAAGCTCGAAACATACATTTTTAAAAGACTTGACTTTTCAAATCCATCTAGAACCCTGTATATAATGCATGGTGAGAAATACTGGCTGTATTTTTTCCCCAAATTATTGTGTTCTTGAGAGGAGGTAAGTGAAACATATTAGCAGAGCAGGGAGAGTGGAGTATGAACTAATCAAACACGATTGTTCTGAGGAAGTTCACCGGACCCGAAACGTTAACTCTGATTTCTCTCCACAGGTGCTTGCAGACCTGCTGAGCTTATCCACCAATTTTTGTTTTTGTTTGTGAAACATGATTGTATATTTGTTTAATCTCTGCAGATAATGGGGATAGCCTAACTTTATATAACAAATCTGGTTAACATCAACAAACATATTTTTAACCAAGATCTCTTGAAGAATCAATTGACAATCCAACCATTGTCAAAGAAAGCAAAGATACCTGGGTATGCTGGCAAGAGCTCACAGGAACTACTTTACTGCTCCACAGTGGCTTTTAAAATCCTGGTTTAATTACTTTTGAATGCAGTACAAAAGTACTACTGCAGTCTTCCAGGGGATAAGATTATGAAGCAATGAATCAAATTCAACCTTTATCTTGAAATCATTAATTGAATGCTTGACAGGGACGTATCACAAATGTAAATTGAGCAAAAAAGAGTGAAGATATAAACTACAACTAACTAAGAAGCACAGATGGGTGCACTTACCATGAAGCGCACATCATCGAACCCATTCAGCACCAGCTTACTTTCATACTGTTGCATCCCAATCGAGTCGAGCCACTGCCCGACACTCTGCTCCAGTATCCTTGAACCTGTTGAGAGATTGATCGGCAAACGCTTGGGCAAGGAAAAACCATTCAGGCGGTAACAGCGGCACTCCGAGGAGGAGATATGACATTGCCACATCATTGTCTCCCACAACGTGCTGGGGCAACTAATACGAGCAAAATATCCTTAAACGTAGCACCTCAGAGGCGTTGATCCAAATCCAAGGAATATTTAAAAGCCTGGATTAATAATTCAACAATACCAATTTTTCAAACTTTGCATAGATCTTTGTAATCCAGAATGATAGCCATGCAGAATGGTTGTCAAATAAGCCGAAGTCTCTGATGTCCCCCTTAGTTAACTTATTTGAATTAAATATACAGTATGCAGCATATGTGAGCTGCTGCTTTTGCACTCAAGCCAAGTAAAGCAGCTGCACTTGCTGCCTCTATTTCAATGTTAATAATACAGCAGGGAACTGAGTTTCAAATTCAGTCTAATGACCAGCTCTTGGTGCTGCAGCAGGTGTTCATTGTCTGCCAGCTGAGCTCCTTGCTTGGTCCCTTCACACTATTATCACCCTATCCTCCCTCCTCCCCCTCTGAGCTCCCTGCACTGATTAGAATACACCATCAACCATTCAATAGCCTCAGCAGCTTACGACTGTGTCAGGAGAAATGAGGTGACTTCAGAAAGAATGAGATAAAGCTCAAACTCTGGTTGTTTATTGCTGCAAAGTGCATTCTTCTACATAACTCTTAACAGCTAGGGACATGAACCGTGGACTTCAGCAAGAAGCAAAGGCTTTTGCAAGAGAAAATTAAAATCAAAATCTGCAATTTTTTCCTCCGAAATGTTTCCTTCCATCCCACTGCCTGATGTCCCCACCTGATTGATTTGTTTGAATATAATTGCTTTCCACTAGGGAAGCACAACAACTCTGGAATACAAATTAAAGTAAATGAATGCACAACTGTCAATTCAGCAAAGATAAGCAAATTCATTGAAAAGGACGACCTGTTTGCAAAATCAGCTACAAAGCTCACTAAGTCAGTCAATTTTTTTGACTGGGCTAAGGCTTAAAATATAATGCAATGGGGTGGAGAAGAGGTGTGGGAGTGGGGAATTATATTGAGTGGTAGGAAAGGGACAGCTGGAGATGGTGAGCAAAAAAATAGGAGTAACACAGCAGATAGAGAAATGAAGAGGAAAGATAGGGGTGAGAGAGATTATGGGAATTGGAAAGAGAGAAACAGGAGTTGAGCAGTTGGGAAGAAGGGAGTGAGATGTGGGGAGCATGGGAGGTAGATTGATGGAGAACAGGGTGAGAGGAAAGGAGGTAGGTGGCAGAGAGATTGGGGCATGTGGTTCTGCAAGGGAGAAAGAGATGGGGCAGACAAATGTGGGACATGGGGATAGTTGGGGAGTTGAAGTTGAGAGGAGTGGGGGAGGAGTGGGAAGAAAGAAGTGGGAGAATGTGAAAAGGAATGCAGGAGTAGGGGATGTATGAATGAATAAGAGTAGTGGATAGTGAGGAAGGAGGGATGAGAGGGTGGTTGGGAGAAATGAGTAGTCCCGAGGGACCGTATAAGGATGGACAGCTAGAAAGAAGGAAAGTAGAAGGAGGAAAAAAGGGAAGAGGAATGGTGCAAGGGATGGATGGGTGGACTGGTTGGGAGGCCTGCAGGAAAGAGCAAGGGGAGGTTGCAGTCGAGAGGGCGCAAATTGATGGGAAGGAGGTGTAGGAGGAAGTGGTAGGGAAGGGAAGATTGGATTAGAGGAATTGAGTGGTGGCAGGTTGGGTCAGAGGCAGTAAAGAGAGGTGAGTGGAGCTCAGCCACAGAAGCAACAGCAGTGGAGCAGGGAATATCTCAGGGTGAATGGCTACAGTGAATATTCCCAATAAGGGGAGGGGGAAAAGGTGGTGGGTGCAGGGGGGCAGGGCAAGGCAGGGGCCATAGTGGGGTGGGGGGGAAAGGTGAGCGCAAAAGTGGGGGCAGGAAGGCGGCAGGTGCAAAAGCAGGGGCAAAGGGAGGTGCGGGGGATGCAGTGGGCGGGAGG